GCCAATCCACCCCCCATTCCCACCTCCTCCAAGGCAAGGTCTCCCCCTGGGGAGTCAGTCCAGCCTAGTAGACTCAGCCAATCCAGGTCCAGTCCCCTCCCGCCTACACCAAGGCTGAGCAATATGTCCCAGCATAGGCCCCAGGCTCCAAAAAGCCAGCTCATGCACCAAGGACAGGTCCCAGTCCCACTGCCTGGGGGCCTCTTAAACAGTTCAAGCTAATCAACTGTCTCACTTATCCAGAGGGCCTGCCTGGTCCACTTCCAGGGGGGCTCCTCAGCTATTGGTTCACAATTCATGTGTTTCCGCTAGTGTTGCTATTTGTCCCTGTGCTTTTTCCAATCATGGTCTCCATATCTCTTGCTCATACAATCTCTCCTCTCTCTCACCAGTTGGACTCCTGGAGCTCCACCTGGGGTTTGCCCGTGGATCTCTGCATCTGCTACCACCGGTCATTGGATGAGAGTTCTATCATGACAGCCAGGGTGTTTGGCCATCCTATCACCAGAGTAGGTCAGCTCAGGCACTCTCTCGACCATTGCCAGTAGTCTATAGTAGAGGTATCTTTGTGGATTTCTGGGGACCTCTCTAACACTCTGCTTCTTCCTATTCCCATGGGGTCTTCATTTATCATGGTGTCTCTTTCCTTTTTCTCCCACTCTGTTCCTGATCCAGATGGGACCTCCTGCTCCGCTCCCCTAAGCTCGCTTTTTCCTGACCCTTGCCCTCCATTAGGCCCCCTCACCCGCAGTTTGCTTATGTAGATGTCATCCATTTCTCTGGGCACGGATCTGCTTTTTTTATTTGCCCAGCCGCCGCTGTCTTGGTACTGAGTTGGGACTGTGCTCGCGCCACCGCAATAGTGATCACAGCCGTCGCGTCTCCCCCTACCACAAGTGCTGCCATGATTGGTGTGTCCCCCACCATTTCCCACAACTGCAGCCTGAGCTATATTCCTCACACCGGACCCCAGGGGGTCTTCGGGCTGTGCTGGCACCAACTCATTCTCTCCCTTGACAAAAAGGTCAATGCTGTCGGACGCAGTCCCAGCCCTCACTCCTCTCTTGACGAAGCGGGGAGTAACCCGTACTGATTCACAGATCCTTCTCCTACCTCAGGGACACCTGGGACTGGAGTCTGATCCCGGTTCGTTATTTTAATTTTTTTTATTCTTCTCTCTCAGCGCTGCAGCCACGGGACATAGGGGCAGATACCAGTAGATTTGGCTGTTTCAACCCCGATATTTCATGGGAATTATCTAACTCCTGCCAGTGAACAGGCAAATGAAAAGAGTTACCTTATCCTCAAGCTTTCTACTGAAGCTCTGAACCCTTCTCTTTCTCCATTTCTGATTCTTTCGCTGCCATGTACAACCACTTCTGCCTATCTGACTTCCGCTCTCCACTATCTGGTGTTGGGTGGGCTTTAACTCATCTTAACTCTTCCCACTCATTCTCCAGCTGCCCTGAGGAGCACAGACCCGTCTGAAAGCAAGCTAAGATACATGCAAATAAGTTTACGATCAGGACCCACATGGGGATCACAGTAGTCAGGACGGCTCTTCAGCCAGAGATCGGTTCACACCCTGCCTCCTGGTGGGTCTTCCTAAAGCTGTCCTCAAGCCAGCAGACATCAAGGGAAAAAAAAATTCAAGACATGGAGTAAAATACATCTCTTGTCCCCCAGATCTCCCCGACAAAGGGCTAAAACGTAAGCATCTGGAGAGCAAGGTTCCTGACCCCACAGACAGAAGTTTCAGCTGTGGCATTTAAGGTGTACCAGCGGAGAGATTTAAAAAAAAAAAAAA